ATCTACTCAGTGTCTATTAAGTACCTATTGTGTATCCCACACACTATTGTACATACATCAGTAAATTATTGGTTGCCAAACATAGGTATTTGTCAGAATTTTTAGAAAATATCCATATTTTATCATTGACTTTTACTTACTCATTTTAAGTTTTGTTTTACTTCTGAAGATGTTAACTCCTCCTTTATACATTGCATTTCATCCAGTTTATATATAATAAATTTCTTTCACTGAACTTTTGTAATCCAATATTGGTTGATAAGTTATCATAATGTATATTGAACACAATTTAAAACTTGAAGTATCTCCTTTAATATGTACCTTTAAGTCTTTATTTATTTTCCTTTTTTTTCTTATTTAGGAAACTTTATTTTTTTTTCCATTTCTGTAGCATTTTATTCATACTAAAGTTATTTACATCTGTTTATCACTAGTGATTTTTAAAATATGGATATTAGATGTTTGTTTTGGTATCCTTTAACTTTAATTTATTTTTTCATTTAGAAGCCCTTTTGAAGGTTGGAGTTGAAGCTCACTAATAGAATGTTAAACATTTATGGCCTATGAGGTTTAACAAATAGATGTAAAATTATTTATGAGTTTATCTTTATTTGTTAAACATTTATGGCCTATGTTCATAAACAATACAAAGATAGAACTTGCAAAATGGGATAAATGTGTGTGTGCTTAGCATGCTTGAGGCCCTGTATTCAGTCCCCAGAATATACATACATACATACACACACACACACACACACACACACACACACACACACAGAGCCATTTTTTGAGAATGTAGCTGGAACTTTTGTTAAAGTGAAATTTATCTAGTTGGGTATCACTATCCAGTTGTAACTGTATCTAAATTTCACTCTTGTTCTTCTAAGTGTGGATCTCAACTTTAGTGCAAAAAGTACAGCTATAGAGGCCTTTAAAAATACAAATGACAGGATTTTCACCCTTTGCAATCTGATTCAGTAATCTAGAGTACACTATGTTTATTTTTACCTTTAAAACATTCCTCAGGACATTTTGATGCACAGTTATAATTAAGAATTATGATCTATTTAAATGTACAGAGCTGCTTTTCTTCTAAAGATAAAATCATAAACATTGAAGTGGAATAGTACTTGGAAATTAGTTATACAACTCTAGAAAAGTGAAAGAACTTATCTCAGGCCTCACAACTAGATTACCCTGAAAAAAGTGTAAGAACCTGATCCTTATGTAAGTTTCAGTTGCACAGTCCCTTTGGGAAACATCTCTTGTTCCTTAACTTAACCCCATTCTTCACTAATGTGGAAGTCAGTGTCCTCTGTTGCATGCCACTGTGATCCACAGAACACTTGACRCTGGGAATCCCTTTTTTGGCACCCTTCTCCACCCAGCGGACATCCTTCCTCTGCTGTTCAGAGAGAAACATCAGTATTATTACAAGCCCTCAGATATATATATAGTGAGGTTTTATTTCTTATGCTTAATAACATAATTTTATATGTACTAGACTTCTAATATTATTATCTAATCCAACTTAAACATGTTCTGGAAATACCCTATAGAAATCACATTGTTCTCACTGTATCATATTATGGTAATTGATAGGATGTCTRTTTCACGGCTATAAGAACATTTAGTCACAAGTTTTATTCTTAAAACTATTTAATTTTTGCAAAATCAACCAGTGTCACCAATAATAGAGTACTAAAATTTTACATTAGTTAAACCTGGAAAGCTAAAGTTTGGTATGGCCTAATATACAGAATCACCAGGAGCAGATTCAGGTGTGAAAACTAAAAGAACTCCTTGTTCACTACCCACATGAACTTAAATCTTATTACATTGTAGTGGTATTGATGAAACTGTGTTTAATTTATGGCTAAAGTTTAAAAATGCTATTGTATTAAGACTGAAAATTTGAGATTATGGTTAATATATGAATAATGATTAATAATTTTGAAAAATGACCAAATCACTCTGAGAATAAGAATAGTATATGATATACTAATATATATGTTTGACACCAAGGAATGGAAACTCAGAACAGCCTTTTTTTGTTTTTGTTTTCTTTTTTAAACTATGCAGGAAAAGAAGCAGAATAATTGATTCATATAAATGGAATAAAGCCAAGTTTAGCAATCTTCTTTCTTCTCTCTCCCTATATGAATGATTAATTGCTTTCTTCTGGAGTTCTAGGGAACCTCATAGGCCATTTAATATGGAGAAAATTTTCTGAGCTCACTCCAGTTAAAAACATTTTTAGAAGACATTAAATAGCCCTCCATGCTTTACTCTGTTGCTATAGGATTAGGATCTTTTACTAGGATAAGGGCAGAACTGGTATCCTCCCTTAGAAAAGTAGGTTCATCTGTTGTTAGCACAGTGAGAAATAAAAATAACAAGATATTCTAAGTTATGTAAATAGCCCAACTCCTGTCATATAGACAAAATGTGACAGTACTGCTAAGATTGCATTCCAGTCTAAATAAAACTCAGATGTAGTTTATCATATAATTAACTGGGCACCTTTTTTTAGTTGAAGTTTTTGAGCTTATTTTTATTTGTTTTATTTTTGTGTAAAAAAAGAAAATTCACCTACCAGTTTGGTTTCCCTGGAACTGTGAGTGGTTCCTATWAAAGCAGTCTATCTATATTTTTAGGTTTAACTCAAATACCTTCCTTCTAATAAGCTGGAAATAATATCTTAATGTTCACATAACACTTTATCTGTGTCATTCCTCTACCACTTAAGGTTTTAAAACATCTTTATCAAACAAGTACAAATGACCAAGAAATATGTGAAAAAATATTCAATATCTTTAGATATCATCATTTGCCAGGGGTTATGGTAGGGAGAAGGAGGTATGGCCATTAAGGAGTAGCACAAAGGAGCCTTCGAGTGATGGTACAGTTCTATATCTTGTTTGTGGTGATGGTCACACAACGATACAAGTATAATAAATTTACTTAAAAGTATACACTCATGCACACACACATATACGAGTGAATGTGTAACTCTAAAAGTATGAATAAACTCTGTGAATTATACCACTGTCACTGTTTTAGTCAGCTTTTTTGTTGCCGTGACTAAATCATCCTACCAGCACAACTGTAGAGGARGAAAGTTTATTTGAGGGATCACAGATTCAGAGCTCTTAGTCCACAGAAAGTTGGCTCCCTTCCTCAGGGCTTAAGGTGAGGCTGAACATCATGGTAGGAGAGGGTGGCAGAAGGAAGCAGCTCACATCACGGTGATCAGGAAGCAGAGAGAGAGTCCACTTACCAGATACAAATATTTACCCAAAGCCATGCCCSAGTTCCCACCTCCTCCAGACACATCCCACCACTCCAGTTACCACKCAGTTTAATTTCTATCAGGGTATTAAATTGCTGATTGGGTTAAGAATCTTACAACCTAATCATTTCTCCTCTGAACCTTCTTGCATTGTCTCATTGTGAGTTTTGGGGGGACTCCACATCTAAATCATAACAACTGGTTCCTAATACTGATACTATACCTTAGTGTTATGTAAGGTGTTAGTATTGGTGGGGGAGTATGGGTAAAGGGTGCATGAGACCTTCCTGTATGTTTCTTTTCAATATTGTCTACAACTATAACTATTAATAGTTAAAGGAAAAATAAGAATATCTAAATTGCCCTTATTATATTTATTTCTATATACAGTTTGTCTATGACACTACATGGAAAGTATGTATGATTTGTCTTTTATCCCCCATAGATTCTTGTATGGTGTTCCATACTTACTGTATCAGAAAGAATTTATTTAAAGGAATAAATGTACAATCGAAATAGATTCTGTTGGTAGTATGAGATATATCAATGTGTAAGTAATGAAGGAAACTAATCACCAGTTTCACAAAATTTGTCATTTTGTAGAAAACTGATACTCAATGTTTCCCTTAATTGTTTCAGTTAAATACTGAATACTATTTAGTGATGCTTTTGAATGTTCACTGTTAACTTCTGCACCAATGGTTTCAAGAACCAGTCCAAACTTTTGGCCTCTCGATGTCCCCCATATGACACAATCCTTTTTCACTTTTGGTAGTTGGTCACAACTACTCCAAAAAGAAAATTTGGCCTGCCCGAAGAAGCCACTTCACCCTCATACATTGTCATTTTACACATAGAATCATTGAGAAAATGGTGGTAACAAATACAGACTGATTATGTTTTGGTGCCTAAAACCATAAAAAGTGTTGCCATTAGCAAAGAGACTGCCCATAGTGAAACACTGGTTACTGAAAGATTTAAATGCAAGTATTAGGAGGGAATGAGACACAATGCTTATATTTATCRTTCAAAATCTTACATATGTATTGTACAATGAAAAGATAATATTTCTACATCATCTTTAGGTTAATGGCTTTTTTGTTTGGCCCTTTTGTTTATAGCCAAGTGAAATAGATCGTTTTAAAACTATTAAGTCATTTTATATTTAATATGCTCCTAAATGTTTTTTTTTTTTAAAGAGAGAGTGAGAGAGGAGAGAGAGAGAGAGAGAGAATTTTTAATATTTATTTTCTAGTTCTTGGCAGACACAACATCTTTGTTGGTATGTGGTGCTGAGGTTCGAACCCGGGCCGCACGCATGCCAAGCAAKCGCGCTACCGCCTGAGCCACAGCCCCAGCCCCTAAATGTTTTTTTTAATGTTTATTTCTTTTAGTTGTACATAATACCTTTGGTTTTATTTATTTATTTTTATGTGTGCTAAGGATTGAACCCATTAGGCGAGTGCTCTACTGCCAAGGCACAACTCCAGCCCCCCTAAATGCTTTTTTTTAATAGGAGAAAAATTATGTAAAAATGTTTCATGATGATTCCTTTGTAAAGATAATAGTGCTTAGAAGAACAAATTCATCAGTGTTTTCAAAATTCATATTAAAATATGTAAAAATATTGCTTTCATCAATTTTCAATTAAAATATTATTGTGCATAATTTTATACATTTTTATAACTCAGTTTTCTATTGTTTTTAGCTACTGATGCAAATGTGAAGAATGAAAGTCTTTCATCTGTGCAGCAGCTTGGTATTACAATGACTGTCAGGTATATAGGAAAATATCTTCCTTGTGCATCCCTAGAATTCATCTGCCTGATATGTGTTTAATGATATTTAACAACCAGCTATTTCCTATACTTCAAGTGTGGAGTTATCCAGGAAATAATAACTTTATCTTTGAGGCTATTGGCACATGATTAAATTACCTCTTCCTGTAAGACAGTTACAGTACATTTTTATTCCAGAGGCTAATTAGAGTGTGTTTAAGCCTCTATGACTATCAGCTTTTCCCAAAAAATAGCATTGTAAAAATCAGCACATTAGTAGCATAATCATACCATTTTCTAAAATATGATTAGTTGTAATTGTAAAGCTATGGTGATGAGTACAAAAGTACCTTCAGGATAGAGAAGTTAAAATGAATAACCAAAATTGTAGTTTTAGTGTTCAAATTGTAATTTTCAAAAGAAATGGCATGCTAGATCATGAATTTGGTTTTAGCGACTGAGTCACTGATACCTCCTTTTATTGCTTATTAAATGAGGATTTTAACAATCCCATTTTAATTATAGGGTCATCTTCAAAATCAAATACAAGGCATATGTGAGAGCTATTAACTAGGCTGAGTGTTTTCTAAATTCACAGTTTGATGAAAATGATGGCATTAATTCTAGTTCATTCAACTGTAAAACATAGGGCATGTAACACTCTTGATTGTTATGTGACTCTGTGTCCACTTGTTTTATAAATATTTTGTAGTGCTGTATTTCTATTCTGAAATGGAATCTGTAGATAATATAAGCAAACTAGTCACATTATTTTAACTCTATCTTATTTGTAGGATATAAATGGAAAGGGAATTGTAATGCTTGTTTGATTATACTGCTATATAAGATAGCCAGCATCCACACATAGAATCATTGAGACAGTGGTGTAACAAATACAGACTGATTATGTTTTGGTGCCTAAAACCATAAAAAGTGTTGCCATTAGCAAAGACACTGCCCATAGTGATAAGCAAGTCATATTAAGTTTTCACACAAAGCACTTGTACTATTTTTCCTTGGTTAACACAGTTAAATTAACRTGTATTTAAAATAGAGGTGTTTATATAAAACAGTATTAGTTTCAGATAATTATAGACAGCTTTTATATTCTTAAAAATCCTAGGACATGGACAACTTGTTATGCATAACTGTTGCAAGTCTAACCTCCTGGAACTTGCTCACTGAAGAATAGTTAAACCTCTCTCAGTTTTCAATTAAAAAATATCCCTATAAATGTCCAAAGAGATCCCTGGTAGAAGTACACCTCCATTTGGGGCCATTGGACAAAATGACCTTCAGATTTATTTGTAGATTTAACATTCTATAAATCTAACCTGTCAGTATTTCTTGTCTTAGATTATATTCAAGAAAAAAAATGTCTGTATTCTACTTTTCATCAACAGGGAATCATCACTTTATGTTCTTATTACAGTTTCATCTTCCTATAAAGTTATCAGTATTACCAAGTTTATACTGCTTTTTTCAAGTATATCATAAGTATCAAGAACATATATGAGAGCTGGTCTTAAGTGTTCTGTAGTATTTTTAGGCTAAAAGTAGAATTTTGAAATCTTAACCCCTTGAAATCTCAAGGGAAATACACTTAGATGGGTATCAAAAAATAAATGTACATCAAAGAGTCTGATATTTTTTAATTTTATACTTTTATGGGTTTTTAATGTAGGTATGGTAAGTTCCTCAACTTATTAAAAGATGGTGCAGAAAATGATCTTGCCTTGGTTTTAAAGCACTGTGAGAGATTCCTGAAACAGCAGCAAGCTCCTGTAAAATCTTCTCTTCATATCCTTTTCTAGTGAATTCRCAATAGTTGAACTTTCTTCATATACTTTTTATGTTATTTGATGGACTGCCTTAATACATTTATGGTAAAATAATTCTTTAAGCTATAATAGTGACTCATATATCTGTATTTGAAACATTCATTTTATAAAACTGAATCGTAATCATTATATTCAGGCATACTCATTGAATCTTAAGCTGAATAGTCATTAGGATGCATTTTCAGAGTCATTTAAAAACATTTTAAAAATARGTTTCTTAGATACAGAATAAGAAAGGTTGCTTTTTTGTAACTATATCCATTTATTGCTTCATTTGAATTTGTGATTGTTCAGAAATGGAGTTTGACTTGAAGAAAAAAATATACAAACTATTTGCATTACTGAATTATAGAAATCTATAGATTACATTTTAATAGGATATTCTATTTGGTTATGCTAGTCATTGCGCGGATAACTACAGACAGGATGTGTGTGTGTGTGTGTTGCTGGGGATTGAACCCAGGGTTTTGTGCATGATAGGCAAGCACTCAACCAACTAAACTGTGTCCCCAGCCCAAGGGTGATACTCTTCAAGAAGAACAAGTGAATTTTCACAAAGCCATTTATTTTACCTCCAAGCAGATGATATATTGAAATAGTGATTATGCAAGTGATTAATAAATTAATTTTATTTAAATAGCTTATAAATGAGTACTGCATATCATTAGCATCTCTTTCCTGATAGAGATCCAGGAAATGAATATTTATGTCGTCGTAAATTTCATCTTGTGAGATATTGCAATAKTTCCTTAACTATGTTCTCTAGTCTGCCTGCAAGGCAATTATGCTGGCCATGATTGGTTTGTATCTTCTCTGTTCATGATAATGTTGGGGGATAAAGAGAAAACATTACAGTTTCTTCAGCAGTTCTCCAAGCTTCTGACCTCTGCTTTCCTTTGGTTGCCAAGACTACATATTTCTGTAAGACTTTAATTTTCATTTGTATTGTTTTGTTTGTTTATGCTTTGTGGTACWGAGAATTGAACCCAGGGTCTCAAGCATGCTAGGCAAGTGTTGTACTACTGAGCTACATTCTCAGCCCTTTTTAAATTTTTTRTTTTGAGACAGAGTCTTGCTAAGTTGCCCAGGCTGGTTGCCAAGTTGCCATCTTCCTGCCTCAGCCTCCATAGTAGTTAGAATTATAGTCATGTGCCTCTGTTCCTTAGCTCTTTTACTAAGAGCTGCCCTATTTTTAAAGGACAGTTTGATATTTTAAGAAACATCATATTTTAAAATACTGGAATGTTTTATTTGTAAAGAGCTCTTATAATTTATATTCATTTTCCTAYTTGAATGCTTTGACTGATTGAAGATAAATATTTGACATGCTCTCAAATATTTGATGTTTTATCTAATGGTAAATGAATGAAAGCAATGATAATAGATGCACTTTCATGGAATAGAAAAAAGATAATAAAATATATGTTTAAATCAAATAATGTTTAGTTATTATAAACTTATTGTTTAATAAATTATATTACTCATATTCTAGATACCAGAAAAGTATTGAATGGATATTTTTATTTAAAGGCTCATGATAGTTAAATTACAGTATGAGAAAATAATTTATTATGTAGATATTACAAATACTTTATAGAGGTAAAGAACCATCTTATGTACATTTTGGAAATCCATACTGAGTTTTTATTGAAGTATTGTAGTATGTTTTGAAAGAATTTACTATTCTTATGAGAACTCAGATTACTGTAAAGTCTTTTCCTTAGTTAATTTACTACTGCTTCTGTTTATTTCATTTATTTATTTAATATTGTGATGATGTGCACCTGGGGGATGCTGCCTACTACATCAGCTAAACTAAGGCTTCCCTAATCTTTTCCATGACATGTTTATGAACAAGGAAATCACTTGGCAGCCAAGGTTAATAAGCTAAGGGCTATGTGGAGTTAAATGAAAATATTTATTTTTTATTATATATATATATATATATATATACATCTACATATACATATTTCTGTCTAATCTAAATAATTCCCAAAACCCTTTCTTATATGTAACTTTAAATCTTATTCATATTTGAAAATTACATTTTTCTAGAGAAGAGGACAAAGATTTATATTTTCTAGAATTACTGGACCGAAATTTTGGAAAAATATTCAAACTTTTCTATTTATCCTTTACGTGRTTATGAATTAACTACAATGAACCAATTTATTGTGTTTATAAAGAATGACCCATCCCTGCCCTTAGATTCCCAAGGATGGATGACTGGATTGGATCAGTGTGTGTTGGATTGAAGAATTTTAGCTCTAATAGGATCTTTTTATTTAACTTCCATAGCAACATAGGAAGTAGATATTTCTTAATGTGTCAGGAAAACTTGACTTATTAGAACTAGATATACTGGAATTAAAAGCTGATTTTTGTGTTTCATTTTTAAGTATATGTCTTTCATTATTAATCACTAAACTTGTTTTATTAACTCTTTGCTTCATATTATCTTACTTTCTAGTATCTTATAAGCTACTGTTTTACTGATAAGTTTTTGAGGTTTTATTTTAATATTTTATTAAAATAAAATTATTAAACTTTTCTATATACAGCATATATTTCTACAAATATATATTTATGAAATATAAAATAATTCATCATGATTTATGATGATAAATGACAGAATAGGAAAACCACTAATAAATCAACTTGGTGACTTCAGAAACTTTAGTATATAATTCCAACCAAATCCTAAAAGCACCTTACCAATAAAGTTAGGAAAAAAAAAAAAAACCCTCCATACTTTTAACTATTATATAACATATGAATTTGATTTGTTTTAATTTAAAATGTTAGATTTCATTTATCAAAACTATTTATAAGCAAGAGTTGTCCATTAAGGGTAAGAAAATAAAATATGTTTTTGACATTCTCTTAATGTAAAGTCTTCAAATCGAATTTGAGTATCCAACTTTTTATTCATTTAATTTGTCGTCTGGGTAGATATTATTGACACCAAATTATATCTTCAAGTTTAATACTCTTTGCTAAATTATTATTGTGAGTAGATGTTGGATTTATAATAACAGTAAATAAAACATTATTGATTGTTTACAATGATGAATTATATCTAAGAACTAAATTAAAAAATAACCAACTTTAAGAAGATATTGATGAAAAATGCACATTCTAAAAATGTGTCTGTGTATGTTAATATGCATATGTAACATATAAGTATACACATAATTATAAAATGAAAGTTGTTTTCAAAATGGTTACCCAAGAACTTTGGATACACTTGGCATTCTCCCCAGTTTGAGAGGTGAACTTATTATAATGAGTTCCAAATTTGGGTTATTATTAATTCAAGCCCAGCTTTGGATTACTATCAACTACTAAAAGGGTACGTCTATTGGACATCCCAAGAGCTGACTACAACTTTTTTGTATAAAATCATTGGACAAAAGCCAAAAGTTTTAAACATACCAAAATACACTTCTTATTAGCATGTATTTTATTACAATTTACTCCCACATATGTTCACTTATTAYTTCAACACCCATCCTCATTTTTCCACAAGGATTAAAGTTACCAAAGTTACAAAGTTTTAATTTTATTCCTGAATCTTAGAAAGGTATATAACCCTGCCTTTATTGAGATTTATTCTTTCTGAATGTTTAAAATTCTGACTTTTTAACTCACACTATTAAAATCACTGAAATAACTTGTTATATCACCACATAAATTTTGAAAGCAGCAATTCATGCAAAAGAAAAAGATTTACTTAAGTGTATGGTTGATTATCTTAAATTATTTATATTCTCAATTTCTCTTTTTATGCAGAAGTATCTACCTATTGACACCATAGAATCTGGCATCCATCCAATATATTTTTGCAGCACTCACTATGTTGAAATGTTACTGAAGGCTGAGGTGCCCCTGGTGTGTTCAGCTTTTCACATGTCTGGTTTTGCACCATCACAGGTAATCCAWAAACATGTCTTCAACTTCAAACATTAGTGTCTTTAAAGAAAATTCCATTTTCTTCAAATGTAGAAAATACATTTAACAAAAATATATATTTAAATCTCTTAACTATTTTCCTTCCCATGCTTATTGTAGGTTTGCTTTTTAGTACATTCCTAGCAGTCACAGATTTTGAGTTTAGTTTCTGCTTCAGGGCATAGACTTTCTGAAAGTCTGATGACATGAAGGCTTTTTAAAAGTGGTGATAATGCTTTCTTAACAGCAATAATAAGGGTTATATAAGGATTAACTGAGGTAGAAGAGGTCAAGGATTCTTATCAACATGGAGTGTCTGGTGTGTGAGATRCTGTGTCTTATCTAACAAGAAAGCCCAGCTGATTAACCTGTGTTTCAGCCTTTGTTCCTGACTTGGGATCTGGGAAAGTTTCATGTTTTTTCTAGTGCTAATGCAGTGTGGTATTACCTATGTGGGCTCCCTCCTGTGTGTAGCTAGCTAGTAGTTCATTGGGGAGGTGTTGATTGTTTTTTTTTTCCCTGTGTTGTAGAGGTGTTGTTTTTTCCACTATGTTGTAGTTAGTCTTAAATTAATATTTTAGAACTTAAAGCTTTCTCTCTCTCTCTCCCTCTTCTCCTCTCCCTCTCCTTCCCTCCCTTCCTCCCTTCCTCCCTTCCTCCCCCCCTCCCTTTATGGTTTCTTTTCAGTTAAGTCTTTACATTAAGACTGGAGTTATAGGGCAGGGGCAGAGCATTTTCCTAACTTGTGTGAGGCCATAGATTTGATCACTATCACCACAAGAGAGAGGAAAATTTAGGTCAGAGTTCTATAAGGTAAGAATACTCAATCAAAAGATATGAGCACTTTTAAGGCTTTTGACTCAAATGATCAAATTGCTTTAGATTTTATTCTTAACAGAAATGCAGAGAGTATCTAGTTTTCAGGATTAGGTGTTTGGCTTTTAAAAAACTAATCACTAATTGAATAGTGAATTTTTTTCTTTTTAAAAATTTCTTTGAATATTAGCACATTGATTATATGCCCACAGTTTTGCTAACTAGTTGAATGTTCTTATAATTATTATCCATCTTTCTTAGTGTATTCCTTATTGATTTTACATATTCTTTAAAAGTAGTATGTACTAACCAAATCTCATCAATTCCTAAATTATGTATATTAGCCTTATATAAAGTTTTAATGTTAAGAAATTATAAGMTTATCATTTATTTCCTACCTATCTCACAAAAAGTTAATTTAGCTATTTCTCCTTATTGATTTCTTCACAAAAACTTTAAAATGATTTTGCCTAGTCCAAATTGAGAATTTGAATTAAGAAGAGATTGAGACTTCTAGTGTTAAATTTTAAATTACTTTGAAAAAAATTATGTCCTTGCTATAGTCAGTCTTTCTATACAGGAACATGGCAAGTTTTTCCATTTATTTGCTTTATTTTGTATTTTCCTAAAGTTATAGTTTTTTCCATATAGGATGGTTCATTTTTCATTTCAGATATTGCTAGTTAGTGTAGTTTGAATATATTTCAGTTGTATTTTCTCTCTGRTTATTATTAATAATTGATAAAATCATTGTTATTAAGTTATAGTATGTGTAGATATCTTAATTTTCTTTTTTTCTCCAATGTGGAATAAAAATGTATTTTATTTCTGTTTCATTTTGATCAAATTATCTAGTTCTTCTAAAATAATTTAAAATAATAATTGCTTAATGTTTTAGACTAAATTATTGAGAAATTATCAAGCATTACACTATTAAGAAGTAACTATTTATGGAAGATAATTATTCTATATCATTCTTCTGAAGAATCCTAGCAGTCTTGGTTTGTAAAGCATTAAACTTTGTTTTTTCCTTCAGTCAAGTTTGAARGTTGAATTGTATCAATTTTGTTTACAGTTAAGATTATTTCAATCTTGAGCTTATTGGACTCATTTAACATGTGGCATGTTGATAGATTTCTTAATAGTAAGTTGTCTTTTTATTCCCTTAGTTTCTACTAGAAATCTTTTAWTTAGACAATAGTTCTTCTGGATAGTATATGTTCTTTCAAAAATCCCTGGTATCATTTATTACATTTACTTCTATGAGATTATTTTCCTTGTTTTAAATCTCCTGATGTCCATAAGAAATTTAAATATAGCATGGAGTTGCGTGTCATGAAAAAGAATGATTTTTCTTGGGAAATTTTTGCCAGGACACTTCTAGGCACTTTATGTTACAAAAATGTTAATTCTAGTTGAAAGAAGTTACTTAAATGTTTACTAGAAATGCAGTAATTCATTCTTTCAGTTCTCCTAAAAATCTAAGCTGGGAGCAATGTGTTCTTAAGACTTACTTTTTTGCTATTCTAGTTTTGACTTATACAATGTATATTGTCTAATACCTTCAATTATTTATGAGTCCTTAACATATATTCTTTAACTTGAAAATGGATCACCAAAGACTGTTGGCCAAATTTATAATTGCTCAGGCCCTGCTATGTCAATTTTGTGATTAAAAGAAAAATATTCTGTTAATTTGATGATTTTTTTAATTTTTAAATTTGTTTTAATTAGTTATACATGACAGTAGAATGCATTTATGTACTTTAATGTATCATACATAGATGGGATATAATTTCTCAATTTTTTGAGTGTACATGTTACAGAATCATATTGGTCATGCAGTCACATATATACAGTAATAATGTCTGTTTCATTTTACTATCTTTCCTATCCCCACATTCCTTTTCCTCTCCTCCCATCACTTCCCTCTACCTAATCTAAGGTAATGCTATTCTTCCCTAGTGCCCTCCACCACCACCATATTGTGAATTGRCATGTGCATATTAGAGAAAATATTCAGACTTTGGTTTTGTGGAATTGGCTTATTTYACTTAGCATGATATTCTCCAATTCCAACCATTTAATGACAATTGCCATAATTTTCACTCTTCTTTAAACCCGAGTAATATTCCATTGAGTATATACACCACATTTTCTTTATCCATTCATCTATTGAAGGACATCTAGGTTGGTTCCATAGTCTGGCTATCGTGAATTGAGCTGCTATAAACATTGATKTRGCTGYSTYACTRTARTATGCTGATTTTAAGTCCTTTGGGTATAAATCAAGGAATGGGATAGCTAGGTCAAATGGTGGTTCCATTCTCAGTTTTCTGAGGAATCTCCATACTGCTTTCCATAGTGGTTGCACCAATTTTCAGTCCCACCAACAAGGTATGAGTGTACCTTTTTCACCACATCCTTTCCAACATTTATGTTGCCTGTATTCTTGATTGCTTTTCTGACAGGAGTGAGATGAGATCTTAGAGTAGTTTTGATTTACATTTCTCTAATTGCTAGAGATGTTGAACACTTTTTCATATAAATGTTATCATTTTGATATATCTATCAATTTGAAACTGCATACAAATATATTCATGTAAAAATGACTCCTGATCAGCCATATTATTCTTTTTCTTAATGTTAAAGTGTCTTTTTAATGGTTCCCTTCTTGGACTAGTTATTTTGCCTTAAGAAATACATATCATAGCTTTGTTGATATTATTTGCCGCTTTATTGCTAATTGTAAAATATGAAAACTAAACTAACATAACTAAATAGGTATGTGTGATTAATTATTTAGATATAAATTTTATTTATCAAAGCTTATTCATTTTGATCTTATTAGGAACAATGCTTTTTGAAGTTGTATATTTTCAGACACTAGAGGATTTATTGATCRGTGAAGGATTTGTGGGAAAGTTACTAAATGAAATCTACAGATCTCAAGAGTAAAAGTAATAAGCTGAACTGGAATAGAAAAAAAAATTAAATAGTTATAAGCGCATATATGTTTATTAAAGTCTCTTTCAAGAGCAGCTATGATTAGAAAGAAAATACAAATCTGAAACTATATTCTCTTTTTAAATGAGTAACAAAGAAATCACATTCTAATTATCTTTTTGAACAACTTTATTCTTTGTTTAAAAACTTTTCTTAATGTATTTTGTTCACTTTCCTGGCTTAAACAGGTACTACATATCTTTAATGATTCATCTCTCTCAATTCCTTGGATTCACCATCCTATATGTCATTGATTATAATACTTTACTTATCAGCAAATGAGCTAATATAGATAATCCCTGGAATTATCTGTGGAATAATAGTTTAGGAAAACCTGCTTGGTTTTTCTCATTTCTGTTCTCCTGCACCCCCAACGTAAAGCAGATTACAGAAAACTGTTTCATGTTTTGTGACACACTGCTTTTATAATGTATACATACAAAGCAGATCTTGCCTAGATGTACAACAGAAATATTGCCTCATGTTTGTAATGGCAAATTGTCATTTAAAAAGTGTTTTCCATTTGTATTTAAATGTTTTTAACCTTCATTATGTGAGAGATGGAGAAATGCAGGATCAGTGAAATTAGTAGACTTACTGAAGTCACTCAAATAAAAAACTTCACTTAAAACCACTTTGATTCTACAGTTTTCTTCTGTACTAGTTCTTTCTATGTAGAGAGCCAATAAAATAAATTTGAAAGAGCTGTTAAAAATAGTGCCTTTGAATCATAAAACTTGATCATTTAGAAATCATACCTATTCTGCCTTCCTTGGGTATCTGTAAGTAATTATTTTAATTAACTTTTTAAACTTTAATATTCTTATGAAAGTCTTTGAAGGTTTTTTAAAATCTAGATATAAGTAAGAATAATTTAGTTCAGATAAAATAATTGTGTGATCTCAGTGTTGCATCTTAATGTACTTTAACATGAGTTTAACTGCAGGTGAAGAGCAAAATTTTGGAAGGCTGTGGTTAAACTTAATGCATATTGTGCAAGTGATTTTATTTCTTTATGAAGCTAGATGTGTTTTGTTGTGTGTGTGTGTGTGTGTGTGTGTGTGTGTGAGAGAGAGAGAGAGAGAGAGAGAGAGAGAGAGTGTGAGTGTGTGTGTGTGTTTGTGGTGCTCAGGATTGAACCCAGGGCTTTTTTATGCACTCAAGGCAAGCACTTTACCACTGAGCTATATCCCCAGCCCAAGGCTAAATGTCTTAAAAAATGTTGTAGAGTATAATTAGTTCACAAAGAACTGTGTTTTGCGATTTAAAACAAGTTAAATTTGTTTTACTTCATATATATATATATATATATATATATATATA